CTCAGTTGGTTAAACGACTGCCTTTGGCTCAGGTCATGATCCTGGAGTCCCGGGATCGAGTCCCACATCGGGCTCCCTGCTAAGCAGGGAGTCTGCTTCTTCCTCTGACCCTCCCCCCTCTCATGTGCTCTCTCTCTCTCTCTCATTCTCGCTCTTTCAAATAAATAAATAAAATCTTTAAAAAAAATTAAAAAAAAATAAAATAAATAAAATGAGCTTATACTTACGTAGCACGTACTTTGCGGCAAGTACTGCTGTAAATAAATCTTATGCAAACCAACTTGGACCCCAGGGGAGCTAGGCTACTTTAACCCCATCTGACCGAGGGGTAACTCGCCCAGGAATAGGATTTGAACCCTCGGCAGCTGGCTCCGGAAGCCATTCATTAACTGTTGCATTAGTCCACCTCCAACTGAGTTGAGGAGCCTGACAAATGACAGATAACAGTCTTGTCAGCTGTCTACCGAAGAGGATGTAAGGGGGGTTCCCATTCCCGAAGCAGGCCCTGACATGCGGAAATTGGCGGTGATTGATCGAACTGTGCTCTACTCGCAGAAAGCAGGGGGTCACATGTGTTGGGTCCAATCCAGTGTGGCTCTTACCTGAGACCCTCAAGAACGAGAACCAGGCCACTGTTGACAAAAATGTGCCTCGTATTCAAAATGTTGTGTCAGTGACTTGGAGAATTGCAAAGGTCTCCTGTGCCTAAACGGACTCCCAAGGGCCCCAGAGGAACTGAGGCACCCCACTCCATTCCCCAAGGAAGTGAGGTGTATGATAAAGGCAGCACCCCTAAACGCAGCAACCAAAAAGACCCAACCAAAGACACGCGCTCTGTGAATGGGGAAGTCATGCGCAACCAGTGCATTTATTTTAGGATAAGTCGGTTAGTCTGGAAACGCGTAGATGTGATTTACTTTAATTTTTCAGAAGTTATGGGTGAAGATTTCAGACGAAAGGCTATAGTGTGTCACCACGAGATGAGATGGTAGTTAGAAGAATCGGGGAGAGAGCCCGAGGGCTATTTTGTCGTGAAAGATGAACGAGCTTCGAGAAGGAAGTCAACAGCTGCATAAATGGGCATGTCTCTGGCTGGAGAAGTGTGAAGAGGAAGGTCTTGAAAACTATTAGGAGAATCTGATTTAGCATTTTATGGATGAACTAGAGGAATACAGAATCTCCAAGGCTGTGTGTTACCATAAACTGAGAGGAAGGCGCCCCCAAAAGACCTTAGGGTTAGGATAAAGAAATAAAAAAAATCTTTAAAAAAATTCATTAAAAGTAAATAAAAGGAGGGGCGCCTGGGTGGCTCAGTCGTTAAGCGTCTGCCTTCGGCTCAGGTCATGATCCCAGGGTCCTGGGATCGAGCCCTGCTTCAGCTCCCTGCTCCGGGCGAAGCCTGCTTCTCCCTCTCCCATTCCCCCTGCTTGTGTTCCCTCTCTCACTGTGTCTCTCTGTGTCAAATAAATAAAAATCTTTAAAAAAAAAAAGTAAATAAAAGGAAACATTTAGCTCTTCAGTGGCAGTAGCCACATTTCCAGGGCTCAATAGCCCCAGGGCTATGGGAATGGACAGTCCAGACTCAGAACATTTCCCTGGCTGCACGAAACTCTACTGGACAGTGCTGGTCCACACAAGGCGTTCTTCTCTGGCACTAACTGTGGATGATAGGCTTCTGTTGATCTGTTGGGCAGATAGCCACTCTACTAAACTCTGCTTTCTTTCTTTTTTTTTTTTTTAAGATTTTATTTA